TTTTCAGAGATGATTATGCTCAAGGAAACTCTGACTACCAAAGAGAGAGAAGAAGCCTTTGAGCTGACACAGAATAACCCGGACTTGCTATTCATTCATGCTGCTCTCTGCTCAGCTGCTTGCGGATTACAATCACAGCTCTTTGCTTATCCATTCAACTTGCCAAAGTACTGGTTCCTACTTCACACTGAGAGGAGCGCGCCGTAAGTCACAGTCATTTTTCTCTGTATTGCATTGTTTGCAATACATATGATCCAGAATAATCAATTCAGTCCTCTCGTTACGGTCGCTCAAGACGGTGATTCCTTTGATAAGAACACATTTCTAACTGCTTTGAGGCTATTCTTCGAGAAAACCAACATCTTGAGAATAGAGCACAAGCTGGAGTTTCTTGCCGAGGCCCATCTCATGCATGAGGTCAGCACTTTGATATATGAATACATTATTTCGAGCGACTGCCATGCAGCCAATAACTTACCCTTTATCAGAAATGAGTTTCGGTGTAAATTCTTCAAACGATGAATCTAGAAACACAATCCCTGAATGATGTGTTCAAATGATAACCACAAAATGTTTTTGGCCACCATTTCACATCTTCTTTATAGCGTGATTATTGACGATATTGTTTTACTAACGGGAAAAGAATGTAAGTTCTTCGATCACCGAAGAAGAGTTGATAAATGGAAGTTCACTCCAAGCTCTCGATAACCATTTCTAGCACGTTTACTACAGATTGCCAAATACATGATGCATGCGGAATGCCACCGACCAAGCACACGTTGCGAACACCATGTATTCTTCATGACCGCTGATCAAATCGACAGAGTTCAAAAGGTCTGTTAGCAAAACTTCCGAGTGCCTAACACTTATTTATTTTGCACCATGATGTGGTCTGGGAGGAACGGAAAATGCTCAGCGTTAACGCTTTTAGTTGTAGCATTCGAGGACAATTGCTTTAGTAATTTCGCTTCTTTTCATAAAAGTGCACGCGCCTTTGGTTCACCTACATTGA